GGATTGTTAACATTGTATCAACTCTCTTGAGACTCAAATGAGAGACGCAAGCGGGGTTGGATATGTGAAAGAGAAAAAGAGATAGAGCGAGAGAGAGGGGGGGGTGAGATAGAGGTAGGGAAGGGGGAGGGAGATAGAGAGAGAGGTAGGATAAGTGAGAAAGAGACGGAGAAAGAAAAGGTGAGAAGGGGGAGGAAAGAGAGAGATTCCTGTCTTGTATATTGTGTATTGTGTGAAATGAGGTGTTCAATAGTTTCTCGCAATGCATTCATCAGCCAATCAGCGTTTATCACGAGCAATGACGTCATCAGCCAAACTCCAAACGCTTTGGACTTTCGTGTTCTACCAAACACTGTTATAGTTGTTTGCAGTGTGGAATAAAACTAAAACAACCAAATCAATTCACAAATTTAATATTTCCTGATATGGAAAATCCAGAAACAGAAATAAGGGCAAAGAAAGGAAACTTGGCCAAACTAAAGAAAACATGGAAGACAGGAATGAAAACATCCAATTCCAGCTCCTCGTCTACACCGTGCCTTCGAGAGTGTACTCCTGGCCCGGGCTTTGGCTTCTGACAACCTTTCCAATGGGTGGATTAACCAGCCGTCGGACAGACACCTCCGGTCGAGATCGAAATCCAGTCAAGGTATTCTGATGAGAAGGAAACAGAACCGTTTATTAGAATTTCCTATAAATATTAATCATTATTGAAAATATTAGCCATTATTGGAAGGAAAGGATCTCTTCATTTCAAGTGAAATTATGTTTTTATGCCTTATTGAGAACTTAACCAGTTCCAAAAGAATTGAACACTAACGTGTAACTCTGGCGTAGACTCCGGGCCTATCAGGTCGAGCACAGCCATAACCCCACGACACGACTCCCACCAGTTTCCACTTGCCGTTTTCTTCCACCACCATTGGTCCACCGGAGTCTCCCTGTAACATTCACATATACTGGGTGAAATATATAAATGAATGCCACGTATCCAAAAAACAAGTTGAAATTGTAACTTTAAAGGTAAGAATGACGAAGGAACACACCTGGCAGGAGTCCTTGCCTCCCTCAGGAATGCCTGCGCAGATCATGTTGTCAGTGATGCTTCCTCCATACTTGGTATTGCATACGGTGTTTGTCATGGTGGGCACTGTTACCTCGAACAAGGTGCCTGATGTGGATCCTCCTGTTAAATGCATTGTATGAGTCAACGTTGGAAGATTTTTGTTATCATTCTCTGATATAAAACAAAACTTTAAAAGGCTTATCACGAATATGAGTACCCACCCTCCTGTTGAGCTCCCCATCCTGTGATTGTGGCATCCACACTATCATACATTTCACCAGCAGTTGGAAGGCAGACAGGGGCGATTTTGTTGTCAGATGGGAACTGGATCTCTGTCTTGAGTCTGATGAGGGCAATGTCGTTGTCCAGTGTATTGGAATCATAGGACGGATGATTCATAATCTGTTGGAAAGGATATGTATTGCAAATGTTTAGTTGTTTGTTTTTTTTTTAATATGTTTAGAAAAATGACAAATCGATTCAGTTTTTCCAATGTTCTGCGATGAAGTGAAGACATTAAACTTACTTCAGCAATCTGCATCCACTGAGAATTGGCTTCGCTTGCGGAGTACAGGTTGTGGTCTCCCACCAGCACATAATCCGAGATGGTCATGCTGCAATAATAATAGGGAATAGAGAAGTGGATTTGAGAGAATAAGATTTTTTTTTTTTTTTTTAGTTAAATAGGATCTTACCCTACTTACCCTACTGCACAGTGAGCTGCAGTGACGACCCATTGGCTGGAGATGATAGAACCGCCACAGAAGTGATAGTATCCACTGCCGTCGACAAGAGAAACCATCCAGGGATATTCGTTCACCTCCGTCTCTACTCCACCAACAATGCGGTTGGCACGGTTGACTTGCCCACATCCAGCTGTGGGAATAAGAAGAAACTCGCAACACCATTTCATGGAAGGTAAGACAGCTTGAAAATGAATGGAGTGCTGGATACTTCATAGCTTGTCCATCCATCATCATTTCATTATTGAGTAACAGGTTTTCTGTTCGCTCATCAACGCCGAAGCCTATGTAAATGTTTTGTTTGATCTTTTTTAGTATGGTATTTTGTAGATTATTGCAGATTTTGATATTTTTACTTACGGCAGTCAGAATTGGGTTCAGAAGTAGGGGCAGGCGTCGGAGCAGGTGCGTTCCCATCGACACAGACTCCGGTTGTTGTGTCAGAAATCCATTGCAAATATTCTGATGAAAAACAAGTTTTCATTATCTTTGTGGGCACAAGGAATAAAAATATCAAAATATTACTAGTAAGAGAAAAAAATTTTGACTGAGATTGCTTTCTTTCCTGTGGTGCCAGAGGGCCTAAGAAAAACATTTATGGATCGCAAACTGTCGGTATTAGACAGTCAACATGCGAGTGTTTCTTACAGGGAAAACTTGAGTAGTGTGTGTTTCACATTTGGATATACATAGATATATATCTCATGAGACAGCTGAGTTACTGAACTGCAGAAATTGATTCAGTGGCAAAGTATAATATACCCACGTGTAACTCTGGCATAGACTCCGGGCCTATCAGGTCGAGCACAGCCATAACCCCACGACACAACTCCCACCAGCTTCCACTTGCCGTTTTCTTCCACCACCATTGGTCCACCAGAGTCTCCCTGTAATATTCACATATACTGTGTGAAATATATCGAAAGGAATGTCATCTATCAAAAAAGAAGTTGAAATTGTATCTTAAAAAAAGAATGACGAAGGAACACACCTGGCAGGAGTCCTTGCCTCCCTCGGGAATGCCTGCGCAGATCATGTTGTCAGTGATGCTTCCTCCGTACTTGGTATTGCATTCGGTGTTTGTCATGGTGGGCACTGTTACCTCGAACAAGGTGCCCGATGTGGATCCTCCTGTTAAATGCATTGTATGAGTCAACGTTGGAAGATTTTTGTTATCATTCTCTAATATAAAACAAAACTTTAAAAGGCTTATTACGAATATGAGTACCCACCCTCCTGTTGAGCTCCCCATCCTGTGATTGTGGCATCCACACTATCATACATTTCACCAGCAGTTGGAAGGCAGACAGGGGCGATTTTGTTGTCAGATGGGAACTGGATCTCTGTCTTGAGTCTGATGAGGGCAATGTCGTTGTCCAGTGTGTTGGAATCATAGGACGGATGATTCACAATCTGTTGCAAAGGATGTTACAATTGTTTAGTTGTTTGATCTTGAAAATATAGGTCGAGAAAAAATGACAAAACGATTCAGTTTTTCCAATGTTCTATGAGGAAGTGAGGACATTTAACTTACTTCAGCAATCTGCATCCACTGAGAATTGGCTTCGCTTGCGGAGTACAGGTTGTGGTCTCCCACCAGCACATAATCCGAGGTGGTCATGCTGCAATAATAATAGGGAATAGAGAAGTGCATCTGAGACAATAAGAAGATTATATATATATATATATATATATATATATATATATATATATATATATATAGTTTTATTAGTAGTAGTAGTAGTAGCTACTTACCCTACTGCACAGTGAGCTGCAGTGACGACCCATTGGCTGGAGATGATAGAACCGCCACAGAAGTGATAGTATCCACTGCCGTCGACAAGAGAAACCATCCAGGGATATTCGTTCACCTCCGTCTCTACTCCACCAACAATGCGGTTGGCACGGTTGACTTGTCCGCATCCAGCTGTGGGAATACATATCATCTTTACAACAACAAACTCACAAAACCATATTCACAAAAGACAGCTTGAAAATGGTGCTGTAAACTTCGGAGATTGTCCAGTCATCATCAACTTTCATCCATTAATTTGCTTAGTGTCTAATGATTTTCTAATCCATCAACACTAGACTGTTGCGTCGCTCCCAATTACAACAAATGTCTCTATGTAGTCTTTATTTGATTTTCTAGCTTTTTTTATAGATCAACACAGATTTTATTTTTACGTACGGCAGTCAGAAGTAGGGGCAGGTGGGTGCAGTAGTAGGGGCAGGCGTCGGGGCATTTGTAGGAGCAGGTGTGTTCCCATCGACACAGACTCCGGTTGTTGTGTCAGAAATCCATTGCAAATATTCTGATGAAAAAGCAAGTGTTCATTAACTGATTGTAGATATAAGGAATAATGAAAAGTATATCTAAATATTTCTAGTAAGAGCACAATTTTTTTAATGAGATAGCTTTCTTCCTGTGGTGCCAGAGGGCCTAAGAAAAACATTTATGGATCGCAAAATGTCGGTCATAGACAGTCAACATGCGAGTGTTTCTTACAGGAAAAACCTAAGTGGTACATTCTTCCTTCTAGGGAAAGCTTGAGGTGTGCATCTTTCACATTAGGATCTTTGATATACATAGATATACATCTCATGAAAGTTATTGAATTGAAGGAATTGATTCAGTGGCATAGTATAATATACCCACGTGTAACTCTGGCATAGACTCCGGGCCTATCAGGTCGAGCACAGCCATAACCCCACGACACAACTCCCACCAGCTTCCACTTGCCGTTTTCTTCCACCACCATTGGTCCACCAGAGTCTCCCTGTAATATTCACATATACTGTGTGAAATATGTCATATTGTGTGAAATATATCAAAGGGAATGTCATATATCAAGAACGACAAGTTAAAATTGTATCCTTAAAAGCAAGAATGAAGAACATACCTGGCAGGAGTCCTTGCCTCCCTCAGGAATGCCTGCGCAGATCATGTTGTCAGTGATGCTTCCTCCGTACTTGGTATTGCATTCGGTGTTTGTCATGGTGGGCACTGTTATCGAACAAGGTGCCCGATGTGGATCCTCCTGTTAAATGTATTGTATGAGCCAATGCAGACATTCTCTTTCCTTAAAATATAAAACAAATGTTTTTACAATACTTGTTACTATTATCAGTACCCACCCTCCTGTTGAGCTCCCCATCCTGTGATTGTGGCATCCACACTATCATACATTTCACCAGCAGTTGGAAGGCAGACAGGCGATTTTGTTGTCAGATGGGAACTGGATCTCTGTCTTGAGTCTGATGAGGGCAATGTCGTTGTCCAGTGTGTTGGAATCATAGGACGGATGATTCACAATCTGTTACAAAGGTTATTACAATTGTTTAGCTGTCTGATCGTGAAAATATAGGTCGAGAAAAATAAGGACAAATCGATTCAGTTTTTCCAATGTTCTATGAGGAAGCGAGGACATTAAACTTACTTCAGCAATCTGCATCCACTGAGAATTGGCTTCGCTTGCGGAGTACAGGTTGTGGTCTCCCACCAGCACATAATCCGAGGTGGTCATGCTGCAATAATAATAGGGAATAGAGAAGTGCATTTGAGACAATAAGGGAATTTTTTCTTCTTTTTTTACTTCAATAGGATCTACTTACCCTACTGCACAGTGAGCTGCAGTGACGACCCATTGGCTGGAGATGATAGAACCGCCACAGAAGTGATAGTATCCACTGCCGTCGACAAGAGAAACCATCCAGGGATATTCGTTCACCTCCGTCTCTACTCCACCAACAATGCGGTTGGCACGGTTGACTTGTCCACATCCAGCTGTGGGAATAAAGTGATTGAGGAAACTCGCAAAACCAGTTCATAGAAAATGGAGTACTGGACACTTCAAAGTTTGTCCACCGTCATCAACTTCCTTATTGTCTGCAGGTTTTCTGTTATTTCATCAATGCTGAAGACTCTTTTTAATTTTATGGTACCTTGAAGATTACTACAGATTTTGTTATCTTTACTTACGGCAATCAGTATTAGGATCAGAAGTTGGGGCAGGCGTGGGTGCAGTAGTAGGGGCAGGCGTCGGGGCAGTGTAGGGGCAGTCGTCGGGGCATTTGTAGGAGCAGGTGTGTTCCCATCGACACAGACTCCGGTTGTTGAGTCAGAAATCCATTGCAAATATTCTGATGGAAAATAGTCATCATTATCTCATTGTACGTACAAAGAATGATGAAAAACGTATTAGAATATTACTGACAGAACTCAGCTTCTAACATTCTCTTCATATATGGTATCCAGTCTAATTATAGAAAGTCTGACCAAATTTTCTGAATGCAATGCATTCATTATAAACGCAAGTGCATAAGTCTATAACTGCAACCCGAAACATAATCAAAGAATCCTCAACGCAGTGGTTACATTTTAGCTGAGCCCGTCATACATGGACACTGGAGCGGCATTGAGGTTGGCATGTTTCCTTGATCAAAAATATTAAGCAATCTTCACCAAACAGACTTTTGCTTATATTATACGACATCCCCACCAGATTTTTTTTTTTTTTTTTTTTATAACCGACTTTCAGCTTCTTATAACGTAAGAGAAACATTGGTGGTATTGCAAGATATCAGTCATAGACAGCAAAAATGTTAAAGTATCCCTTACAGGCCAAAGCTGAGAGGTACATTTCATCTTCCAGGAGATGCATTAGTTGTATAAAAATCCCGTAAGATAGTTGTTTTTTTACTACAGGAACTGATTCAATGGCTAACCAAATTACTCACGTGTAACTCTGGCATAGACTCCGGGCCTATCAGGTCGAGCACAGCCATAACCCCACGACACAACTCCCACCAGCTTCCACTTGCCGTTTTCTTCCACCACCATTGGTCCACCAGAGTCTCCCTGTAATATTCACATATACTGTGTGAAATATATCGAAAGGAATGTCATATATCAAAAAAGAAGTTGAAATTGTATCTTTAAAAGGTAAGAATGACGAAGGAACACACCTGGCAGGAGTCCTTGCCTCCCTCAGGAATGCCTGCGCAGATCATGTTGTCAGTGATGCGTCCTCCGTACTTGGTATTGCATTCGGTGTTTGTCATGGTGGGCACTGTTACCTCGAACAAGGTGCCCGATGTGGATCCTCCTGTTAAATGCATTGTATGAGTCAACGTTGGAAGATTTTTGTTATCATTCTCTGATATAAAACAAAACTTTAAAAGGCTTATCACGAATATGAGTACCCACCCTCCTGTTGAGCTCCCCATCCTGTGATTGTGGCATCCACACTATCATACATTTCACCAGCAGTTGGAAGGCAGACAGGGGCGATTTTTTGTCAGATGGGAACTGGATCTCTGTCTTGAGTCTGATGAGGGCAATGTCGTTGTCCAGTGTGTTGGAATCATAGGACGGATGATTCACAATCTGTTGCAAAGGATATTACAATTGTTTAGTTGTTTGATCTTGAAAATATAGGTCGAGAAGAATAATGATAAAACGATTCAGTTTTTCCAATGTTCTATGAGGAAGTGAAGACATAAAACTTACTTCAGCAATCTCCATCCACTGAGAATTGGCTTCGCTTGCGGAGTAAGGTTGTGGTCTCCCACCAGCACATAATCCGAGGTGGTCATGCTGCAATAATAGTAGGGAATAGAGAAGTGCATCTGAGACAATAAGAGGATTTTTCATATATATACATATATTCTTTTTAGTAGTAGTAGTAGTAGTAGTAGCTACTTACCCTACTGCACAATGAGCTGCAGTGACGACCCATTGGCTGGAGATGATAGAACCGCCACAGAAGTGATAGTATCCACTGCCGTCGACAAGAGAAACCATCCAGGGATATTCGTTCACCTCCGTCTCTCTCCACCAACAATGCGGTTGGCACGGTTGACTTGTCCACATCCAGCTACGGGAAAGACGTTTGTGTGTTATACTGTGGGTCGTGAAGCCATGGATTTCCAACTCTTTACATGGACGTTTTCATTTTTATTATTCAACTCTGGATATTCCGTTATCAGAGCAAAGAGGAAGGGTAAATACATACTGCATTCTGAAGTTGGCTCAGGTCTACAGTTGT